TACAAAATAAAAAACATACACATATATATACAAACATCTTATAATTATGTGACAACAAATAAGGGGTTTGTCATATCGTGTGGACAAAGGGTTCAGTGTTAGTTGGAATCCGAAAGTGGCCCTTGAGAGCTTTGACAAGTGGTATTGCATTTTGCATCTTCTTTGTGACTATTGATGACATTTAATTATATTGTTATTCGATAAAATATTGATTTTTTGTACTCACCTTATAGAATATCAATAATTTCTGGATAGGCGTTATCATGATATATAATATCAACTTTTATATTGTTTTCTGAAGGGTCGGACCAAACTTACCAGTGTTACCCTCTTATTCGTTGGCTACATTTTTATGTATTAATCTTCCTTTGGAAATATATATACCCAATGAGACGATGGATGGGAACATGCGTAGATCTCGCATATTTGACCTTGACGTTATTCAAAACAAATAATTACTTCATAACTCAATTATTTGTATGGTTAGTTCTCATACGAAGACCCAATCAACCTCTTAATTATAAAAAAATAAAAAATAAATGTACTGAAAAATGCTCTGTCCACACTTCATACATATACATTTGCAAATTTATATGTTTGTAATATACATGCATGCATTTTCATCCAAAAAAAATATACATGCATGATGCATGCATATACATACACTGGGTTTATATATACGGTCCCACACGCCTCCTCACACACATACACACATTTACATAGATAATTATATATAAGCAACACCCTCACCACCACAACCATTAATACCCCGTGGCGATTGATGTACGCACACGTGCGTAATCATTTTTAATTATATATATACACACGCACGGCTAGTGCCATGATGTAATTAAACATAATATCAATTTTGTTGAAACTACTGTATATAAAATGCCAGACTAGGTAAATAAAAACATTAATACCATTTGCATCAATTGTGTTCAAATATAAACCTAAAGTCATATATGCAAAACTACATTACCGAAAATGAATGCAGCCACGTCAGTAATTTTTAAAAGTCACATCTCACTAGTATTTTCGGACAATATACACTCTTTATTGTTAATTTATTTAGTTTTTTTAATCCAAATAAACATATTAAAATATATTATACGCTGTAAAATATTCGCTAATAATTTGTCTATTTAAAGATACTGTTACATTTTATAAATATTTACATAAAAATCTGGTTTTAATTTCAAATTGCCATCACTATTTTCTTAACGTCCGTCCCTGTATATATACGTGTGAGATCCGTATGTATACACGTACAAATACGTCCAAGTCGTCAATAGGGCGGGGACCATTTGATGCAAGGGAGAGAGTTTGGACCAATTTGTTTCGACGTCAACGTAATGCCAACCATTTCCGAACTGCAAGTTTTGAGAACCCTCTCGATGTTTCCAAAGGTCCGCCAAGCAACTTGTTCTTGTCCTAATCGAATCGAAATAATGGATTTTCTCTTTTTTGTTTTTTTTCCCTTGCTGGCGTCTGTATGATAAAACAAGAATCAAAACGGGAGGGATTTATCAACCTTTTTTATAAATGGACTGTCTGACCATTCCTTATAATTATTGCTCTCTTTAACAATTTACATGCTTAATAAACACATTTTGCATGTCTTCGAAATCTGACATCATACGATCTAGTTACTCTTGGTTACATTTATTTGATTTCACATTTCGTATATTTGATTTTCATGTAACAATTCGCGTTTACACAACGTTTTATTCCGTAATTAATGAACTCTGAAAACCTAATCAGTTGGTGAAAATTATTTTATCGACTCATAACCGATACTTATAAATGATTAGAACTGTAAATAAAGTGAACCCATATCATTTTTGTAATATGGGCCTACATTTACTAATAATTCAAGCCCATGTGAATTACATTTTTCTTAATTGGGCCTTTGTTCATATCTAATATTTGTCTCTGGCGGAAACAATAAGAAATGGGCTTGTTTTGTCGTTTTGTCGGAAGTGGTGGCGAAATAATAATATTTTGGGAAAATGACATTTTCCTACACCAACTTTGTAAAATGTGACTTTTTCCTACACGAATTTTTAATTTGACAAAAAATTATACCAAATTATCAAATGTGCCAAATTGATACACGAACTACCCAATTTAACTGCAATTTCCTACACAATCCGAAAATGGTGTTAAGTGTCCGTTAACCGCTGACGTGGCACGCCACGTGGCGGCTGACGTGGCACGCCACATAGATTTTTTTGCCACATCAGCATGCCATGTCATGTTTTTAAAAAAAAATTCCGAAAAAATATGAAAAAATCGATTTTTTTTTAAAATTTAAAATAAAATAAATAAACAGCAAAAAAAAATATACATATATATTCATATCTATATACAAATAAAAATATAAATATATATACAAAATAAAAAACATACACATATATATACAAACATCTATACAAATATATATATACATATACATACAAACAAATATATTTATGTATACATATACATATATAAACACATATATATGTATATATACATATGCATATACATACATACATACAAAATAAAAAAAAATCACACACATATATATATAT